GCTACAATTACCATACCAAAAACATGAAAGGGCTGATGTGTATACAAAATTGCACTGTGCTCAATCAATGACAATGATCACTTCTCCGTCTTATTTTCTATAAAGTGTATTATCAGTTTTTCTATCATCTCTGACAAGAGATGGGGGCGTTCGACTTTTTCATTTTTTTGTGATCGACCCATTTCGTTCGTTTTTTTAATCCTTCAAAAAACGAAATCGTTTGCTCTCATTCATCGTTCATTTTTCATCTATTTCGTTCGTTTTCTCATCGAACGATCGCTCAGTAAAAATCGTCGTTTTTTTTCAAAAATTTATTTCTCCATCTTTGAAAAGGAAAAAAATGTACTAGCCCCCAAATGAACCTGGACCAGCTGAGGCCAATTTGCCTTATGGCATACCGTTTGGGTCTGATATTTATAACCTGCACAATTCAACAGTTGTTCCTTTCTTAAACCCTATCACGATGGGGGGGCGGGGAGGGGGGGGGTTATTATTAATAACTAAAAAATGGATTACATTAGAACGCTAAAACTTCTTCATTTTTTCTACATCATAGCTGTGAAAAAATTTTGCAAAAATGTTGATGCATAGGGTATAAAGGTGGAAAATGATCAAACGGCGGGTCGGTGTTTAAAAAATCAGAAACGGCTAATAACTTTTTATTAATTAAGCGAACGGGCTAAGACTTATATATTTGAAAAGGCCTTGAAAAAAGAATACAATAACGTGTGTCATATTTTAATATTTGTAAAAAGTCTAAGAGCAAAGCATAGGGGGGTGGAAACCCCCCCCCCCCCTCAACCTATATTAGAAAAGAATACCCCAGCCAGGATCGGGTTAAAGATAAATCATAATATCTTTCATCCCATGGAAACTTAAGAATGGGATATTCTTAATCAAAAATCGGTTTTTCAAAATTAGAGAGTCCCTCCCGTTTCTCTATATTAATCTTAAATGGCGCGCAAAATTTCAAATTTCCCGGCTTCTGATACCCGACTGTGATTGGTTGAATTTTATACACTTTTCAGGGATACAATTGTTCAAGATTAGGTTAGTACCGAGTAATGAAAAGAGAGGAACAAGCAATGATCTCGATTTCCACCATTCTAAAGTTCCCAGCTCTGATCAACTAATCTGTACTTCTCTAACTATGTAAAAGTAGAGATAAAGGACTGAAGGACTCTAGTGATAGTTTCTGCTGGGTCAACTATACAGTGTCAGCATGCTTTAACGAATGGACAAGTGGGGGGGTTACATCATACAGGACACGGAAAATTAGATTACTAGATTTGATCAAAGTACATCCCGAATACTCAGACAAGATAATAAAAAAATATCAAAAAAAGATTCAGATATGTTTTGAAATAAGCATATCTATGCAGCAGGATCATTCTAAAAACTGTTTTCATGTGTGGTTTTGTATAACGTGAGAATCCTTTTAACTATTTTAAAAATTACAATCCGATATTTTTAATGTCATTTTTTAAACAAAACTTTCAACAATTGACAACAAGGGGTAAAATGATTTATGTTTTGCTTTATCCGTTTTCGCAAACGTTTTACTGAATAAATTATAAGATTTTGCACACTTCTAGAAGAGAAAATCTTTTTTTGCAAACACACATCTCGAAATGTTTGGCATTTAAATTTCTATTCAAAATTCAAAAAGAATTTTAGTCAATATCATTTCTATTTTCCTAAGAATTTAATTTAATTTATTGCATTTTCTACTATTCTATTCTATTCTTTTCTTTTCATTTAAATCCTGTTCTATAAATCATATCTTTTCTAATATTGTCCATCCTTCTTGATAACAATAAAAAGACAATGTATTCGATTAAAAAAACATAATAAAATTCATACGAAAAAATTACTCCATTCTATTAAATCTTAATAAAGAAAAATAAAGCGCGAAGCGGCAACATTTGTTGGGGGAATTACCCCGAGAAGTCTGAATTTGATGTTTGGTGAATGGCCATCCATAAAGCTTTAGACCTAAAAATATATTAAAGAAAGGAATTAAGTCTTTGCCGCAAACTCTGATTTTCTAATCCCTGTAGCTTTGAAACCCAATGTCGAGGACCTTAGATATTACAAAATATGATTTATGTTAGATTTAATAATCTAAGTTTTAATTATAACGGGGTTTCACCATCAGGTTTCATATATATACAGATATAGATATAAGGATTTGAAAATTTGAGTTTGTAGCACAGACTCAATTCCTTTTCTTATTCTACTCTGTTGATTAAAATTCTAGTATTTTTTATAATCCTTTTCAATATTTTCAACTATTTTCTGTTCTATTTTATTCTACTATTTCATTAGTCTATTGTAATACATTCTACTTTTATTCTAATTAATTTTCCATTTTATTTTAATATATTCTATTCTTTTCTATTGTGTTCTAATATTTTATTGCCTATTTAAATATACATTATACTACTTTTGTTCTAATTAATTTTCCATTTTATTCTAATATATTCTATTCTAGTCTATTCTGTTCTAATATTTTATAGCCTATCTAAATACATTATACTACTTTCTATTCTAATTCTTTTTCTATTCAATTTTAATATATTCTATTCTTTTCTATTCTGTTCCAATATATTATAGCCTATTTAAATACATTATACTACTTTCTATTCTAATTCATTTTCTATTTCATTTTAATATATTCTATTCTTTTCTATTCTGTTCCAATATATTATAGCCTATTTAAATACATTATACTACTTTCTATTCTAATTCATTTTCTATTTCATTTTAATATATTCTTTTCTATTCTATTCTATTCTGTACTGTTCAACTTGTTTCGTAAAGAAATAATGTATTCAGCGCATGTGTCTCTTCTCCTTCTTCATTCCAAAACAGAAATAAACATTTTAAACATTTGTCAAAAAAAAAAACATAAATATTAATAAAATAATCCAAAAAATTATATTCTAATATACACAGTTCTATGATTTATAAGTTAGAAAATTCGGGGTAAAAATCCAAGATGGAAGATCCCACGAACAAGTTTATAAATATGTGTGAACGCTCTCACTATTAACATTTCCTCATTTTGCCAATAATTTCTGTTTAAAGCTAAAAACAAGTGAGTCGCAGTCTTAAAATTTACGTGACTAGGGCTACATAAAAGTAAAGGGGAGTTAGCAATGTAAAACCAAAAGCCAACGGGTTATAAGTAATAAATAATAAAATTTGGTGAAAAAGCCTCACGTTCCAAAATGCACCTGATTTAAAAATATATAATGATATTACTTTCAGAGAATCATTTTGGAAAATATAAAGCAGGGAGAAGATACAGCGTTATTCACAAGGAATAATTCATCTCAAAATTTGTTTGTAAGGAATTGAACAAATTAAAGGGATATTCAACGTAATTGCAGATTTTTCAATCCAAATTTGAAAAAAAAATCTTTCTTTCTTCGGATTTTTTCTGAACCCAAAGAATAATTTCAACCCGTCAAAGTTAATTCAAGGGTTTTAAAGGGGGCGGTGCACAATGGTTCAAAAAGGTCCAAAGGGGTGCAAATGTAATCCAAGAAGGTCTAAGGAGGGTTCTCAGAGGTCCAACTTTAGGGCTCCAGGGGGTTCATGCAATTGATGGTCTTAGGTAGTAAAAGGGGTCGAGAATGGTTCTAGCTGTAGTTTAAAAGGAACCATATCGTTTACTTTGCAAATTACAATTCCTTTAAAACTTTGATTTAAAGAGTAAAGTAGGAGAAAGTTTTCTCGAATTTTCCGCAACATTTTAAGAAATGAAATGGATTTTTCGTATTCAGTTTTCTGTACTATCTGGCAGTTCAAGGTCAGAAATATGAAAAATATTTCTGAAAGTCTAACTTCCAATACCACGGAGTCTACCTGCAATCATAAGTAAATATTCATCTTTATATCTTACAGAATAAATCTCAATTGATAAATATAAAGGAATGGAGTCTTTGCCACAAACTCAAATGTTCTAATTTTTATACCTATGCAACCTGATGGTGGACACCTTTGATATTTCAAACTTAGATTATTTAATCTAACTGAATTCATAGTTTAAAATATCTAAGGTTTACAACATCAGGTTGCAAAGATATGAATATTAGAAATTTGAGTTTGTTGCAAAGACTCAATTCCTTTGATACATATATAAACTAGGCCTTTTCAATTGTGAACAATATTTTCTCTTTGTAAACATTGCAAAACAAAAACAAACAAAAAATTTCGCGGTTTTTTTCTTTTGTGGATTTTCAAAATTTTCAAAATCGAATTTATTAGAAGCAAATTTTTGAAAATCCGATAATCCATAATCCTTCCCTGGGGTCCCTTGAGGTACCACAACAGATAAGCAAAGTATATGTAGATATATACTATATATAGATATAAATAGATAGACTTATATGAAATTCCTGGATATTTACGCAGGAAACATATTATTATTTTTGAAAAAAGATTTTTTTTCTTTATTCTTCAATTTTGTTCGAAGTAAAAACACCATATTTAAGATAACAAATATGTTGTTAAAACAAAACTCTTGTATATCACGCCAAAGTAAAGTAAACTTCATGTTTGTAGTTTTAAATCGGATTTATTGTGATCATAACTTCTCCTCTTGAAAGAGCATATATTGAGATGTAAAAGTATGAATTTCAAAAATTTAAATGAATGACGAATTAGAAAGCGCCCTTTTTATGAATTAGCATAGTAATAACTGATTTAATAATAAAGCTCTTTCTTTATCTGTCTTTATAATAACGCTCTTCGCTCGTATATATATTGCATATGTATATTTGTATATAGTTTAGCTTAGTTTATAGCTGGTCAAACGGCTGGAACAAATGGGGGAAAAAAATGTTGTTTTTTTCAAATTTAGAAATTATTTTTTTTCAACATTAAAATTTTTACTTCAAGTGTTTCTAAAATTTCACAGGCAACGCCTGGCACTTCAAGTAGTATATCATAGATCATCCTTTAAATCCAGTATCACCTCCTTGCCTATTTAGTAATGATGTGTGGACCTACGGACAGATCCTCTGGACCCTCATGTTCTCCATAATCATCGTCGTGGCCATCCTCGGCAATACTATCGTCATCTGGATTATTCTAGGTGAGCTTGAAGGGACTGGGTGTGGTTTTTTTATAAGAGGTATCACTGTGGTCCAATGGAATTACTGACGCAACGACATTAATTTTTGAGGGATCGTTTGTTTCTCAAATACTGAAATGCATACAATTTGGGAGAGTAGAGTTGGCAGAGTAGTGTTGGAAGAGTTGAGTTGGGAGAATAGAGTTGGAGAGTAGAGTTGAGAGAGTAGAGTTGGGATAGTAGAGTTGGTAGAGTAGAGTTGGGAGAGTAGTGTTGGAAGAGTAGATTTGGGAGAGAAGAGTTGGAAGAGTTGAGTTGGGAGGGTATAGAGTTGGGAGAGTAGAGTTGGAAGAGTAGAGTTGGGAGAGTAGAGTTGGAAGAGTTGAGTTGGGAGAGTAGAGTTGGGAGAGTAGTGTTGGAAGAGTAGATTTGGGAGTGTAGAGTTGGGAGAGTTGAGTTGGGAGGGTATAGAGTTGGGAGAGTAGAGTTGGAAGAGTTTAGTAGGGAGTGTATAAAGTTGGGAGAGTATAGCTGGAAGAGTTGATTTAGAAGAGAAAAGTTGGGAAAGTAGTGTTGGGAAAGTAGTGTTGGGAGAGTAGATTTGAAAGAGTAGAGTTGAGTTGGGAGAGTATAGAGTTTGGAGAGTAGAGTTGGAAGAGTTGATTTGGGAGAGTAGAGTTGGGAGAGTAGAGTTGGGAGAGTAGAGTTGGGAGGGTAGAGTTGGGAGAGTAGAGTTGGGAGAGTTGTGTTTGGAGAGTTGAGTTTGGAGAGTTGTGTTTGGAGGGTAGAGTTTGGAGAGTAGAGTTGGGAGAGTTGTGTTTGGAGAGTAGAGTTTGGAGGGTAAAGTTGGGAGAGTAGAGTATGGAGAGTAGAGTTTAGAGAGTAGAGTTTGGAGAGTAGAGTATGGTGAGTGAGGCTGGTAGATCATCATTCATTATCTTGGATTTAGAAATAATATTAAATTTCTGATAAAAAGATAAACTTTTAATCCATGATTAATTTCTATTTCGAGTAATTCTGTTTTTCATGTTTTGTAATAAAGTTTTGAATTTTCTTTGATTGCTACAAATCAAGGCTTTAACGATACTAACTAAATTAATACAATAAAAACATTATTCACATCTTTAAGTCTCTGATCAAAAATATAGAAAATTTAATTTTGTTTAAAGTTTAAAATTGACTTAATCAGATATTTTGTTTGAACACTTCTATAAAAATGCCCAAACTTTAGGAAGCAATTTAATCCCGCGATTTTGATAAAAGATTCAGTATTTTCTCCAAACAATTGTTGATTTTCTACAAATAAACCCTAAATAAGCATCGAAATAATTCATCAAATGTCGTATTCTTAATTTTCTGATAATGGATTGTTGTAGACGTTGCTGATATTTAGTTTTTAATTCAATGATTATATGGCCGGAGCTCTTTTAAACTGTTCCCGCATATTCATGGCTATTTATTTTTTTCTTAAATACTGAGATTTACGTAAAATAGTATAAAACCCATTTGAAAAATTGTCATTAAGGGTTTAACTGGTATTAACCTTAAAAATATTAGTAATTCTTCCATCAACAATTATTACCTCTTAACTTTATCTAAATATCATAACAGTCCAGTAAACCATTGAGAATTGAGTATTATGTGTATTGTGTACAACTACACACTATGGCGTCTGTGGCGTCTACACACTCTGGCGTCTACACACTATGGCATCTATGGCGTCTATGTAGGAATTCCAGACCATGGTGTGAATAGAAATTTCATCATAAAAGCAATAAATATAGTCTAGGTATACAGAGGGAAGGAAGGATATCAAATTTACCAAGGGAAACCGGTAAAACTGCAAAATAAGCAGTTCTATCATTGCCGGCTAATCATCCCTGATCAGGGGTCAATATAATTCCCAAAAAAGCTGATTTTCTCGATCCCAAAATAATTTTTTGCCCCCAATTTTGAAAAAAAATGCCCCCAATTTTTAAAAAAAATGCCCCCAGTTAAAATTTTTTTTTTTAAATTCCACTAACACATTTACCCCATTGCCCCCAATTTGAAAAAAATGCCCCCAGTTAAAATTTTTTTTTTTAAATTCCACTAACACATTTACCCCATTGCCCCCAATTTGAAAAAAATGCCCCCAGTTAAAATTTTTTTTTCAAATTCCACTAACATATTTGCCCCCAATTTGAAAAAAATGCCCCCAAGTTCTAAAAAAAATGCCCCCAATTTTATTTTTAATTATCATATAAAAAAAATTTGCCCCCAATTAAAGAATTTGCCCCCATTTCTTTCAAATTTGTCAATCCCAAATGGGATTGAAAAAGGAATTATATTGACCCCTGTCCCTGATAGGTCTTATACAGTTTCAAATTATCCGCCAGAATTTTTCCCGGCGGAAATAAAAATTACTGGAAAAGATGAATGGGAAAACGGATTTCCGGTAATTTTCCGTCAGGGAAATTTCCGCCGGTCGCAGGAAAAAATTATGCCGGAAAGATTTCTGCGGAAAAAGTTTCCAGCTTCATCCGGAAATTTTCTGGATTATTAAATTTGATTTTTTTATTTAAGCGTTGTCTGGTCACGTTTGAATTAGATATATCTTGTTTGTGATAACTGATTATTTTCATTTAAGCTCTTACTAACAAAAAGTCAATTGCGTAATTTCTTGCTTTGGAACCAATGGAAAAATTAACAGAATTAAACACTTTCAAAACTTTGTTGATTAAGTTTTTTAGTTAAAGGGTCACGTAAAAATACAAGGACAGTTCCTTAAACTAAAATGTCATCAAATATCTGTCCATCTTGCAGAGAACTAAAACAGACATCTCTGCATTGTCAGCACTCAGACTAAATCATTTTTCATCGCAGCTAAGTGAAAGGCTGTCAATTTTCTGGGCAAAATCCGACCATTTTTTTCTAATTTATGTTAGAAACTCATAATACTAACTTTAACCTTTAAAAATAGTAATTCAAAGTTTTACAAATAAACAAAACAAAACAAAAAAAAGAAAGGAAAAAAAGGTTAAACTCAAATTTACAATTGTAACCACCAAATTATTTGAAAAAAGTATTTCCATGAAAATAGAGCTTTCTTTAAAATACAAACTGTCCCAATTTGATGATTATATTTTGCATAAACTTTTTAAATCTTTTTAAAATTCAAATCTCAGTAGATTATTCTAAATTCCAGGCTCCAGGCTGCTCAACATAATCTTCCTTTTTTCAAAAATGCAGCTGAAACCTCTTTCTTTTTTGTCTTTCCAATTCCATGATTTTGGTACAACCTTCATTTGCTCTTTCTATAATGAGGCTACATTTATTTGACCTTCCATGTAAAGATAGCAATGGGGATTCACAACGGTACCCTTGAAACCTTAATCTAATCAAGAATGTGAAAGATAATTGTCCTGCGTGATAGTAGAAATGCGCAATTTTGTATTTTTAAAATGATAAACATTCACGTATAATTCATACATGATTAGACTAAGCTTGTGAGGGTTGGTACCGTTATGAATCGGGCATTGTCATATGTGCAAGGAGGTCGAAAGGTCACTTTAAATAACGCTGTAAATGCGCATTTTCTGAACTTTTTCGCTAAACTAAAAATAAAATGAGAGGAAAATCGATAACAAGTTACAGTATAATTTAAGCTGCAGTGGTAAAGATTTATCTGCCAGATATTGGCGAACATTAGAAACTGAGTTTTTGCAACAAATTATAATTTTTTCATTTATATTTTTTGCAACGGCCGGTGTCATAGATCTCTGATATTTCAAACTATGAATTCTATCAGAAAAAAATATCAAAGGTTTTAACGATCAGGTAGCAAAGATATAGGGATTAGCAAATTTGAGTTTGTGGGAAAGACTCGCTTCCTTTAGTTTAGGGAACCAATCAATCAATCAAACGATTCCCTGGACTTACTTGGGTAGATGCATTCAGTTTCTACAATTTAAATCTAATTCTACTTTGCCTTTTACCTTTATGGCATTGCTTTTGGTCCCAAACGTTACATTTACATAGTAAATTGATTTTAAGCTAATGGTAGAACATTCATAACATCATCAAATACACATACGATTACTGAGCAGTGAGCTGTCGTCTTCAAATTACACCATTTCATATGTCTCACATCATATATGTTTAGACAAATATTTTACAAAAATATTTGTTTAGACAAATATTTACCGAAATATTTTAGACAGATATTTTACCAAAATATTTGATTCGACAGATATTTTACCGAAATATTTGTTTCGACTAACATTTTACCGAAATATTTGCTTCGAAAAACATTTTACCAAAATATTTGTTTCGACAAAGATGTTACCAAAATATTTATTTCGAGAAACATTTTACCGAAATATTAGTTTCGAAAAACATTGTACCGAAATATTTGTTTGAAGAAACATTTACCGAAATATTTGTTTCGACAAATATTTTGCCAAAATATTTTTTATGACAAACATTTTACCGAAATATCTGTTTCGAAAAACATTTTACCGAAAGATTTGCTTAGACGAATATTTTACTGAAATATTTGTTTTAATTTTTGCGTTTTGAATGTTCTTAACACTCGGTTTAGTTTCCACTGAGACTGAGCACGTGGATTTAACGGTTCTGTCAATATCCCAGAAAGCTGTGACTTTCGATCACAATTTGACCCATTTAACATAATTAGCCTTTTGTCTTGGATACTTCTCTGTCGACATTTTGCATTTTTAATGAAAAGTATAGAATAAACAAATCTGTAAGGTAAAAGATTGTTGAATTATAGACAAAAATACATTTGATTTCAAATAGAAGAAACCGAATTCTCTGGTTAATCTGGGTTGTGAGTGTTTCTGTTTCCCCCAATAGACTGAGATATGAAACGTGAACATTTCAAAGAAAATTCAAATAAAAATGAAAAATGTATTGCGCTGAACGGTATTTCCGCACTATGGAAATTGATGATGTTAATGAAATCCTTGAAATAAGAAAAGAAAATTACAAGAATCTTTTAAAATGTGTTTAATTTAGGGTTTCCAACGTAATAGATTATTCACTTATGCGAAATAATTTTCATTTCGTGTAATTTCGCAGGATTTCGCGTAATTGGCGAAACTTTTATTTCGGCGTAACTTCGCGTAATTTCAGATTGGACAGTATGTACTTTACCAATTACGGAATGGTTTTGGAATGCCTTAATTACGCGAAACTAGACTTTTTTCGTATACGTAATTAACACATAATTTCGCGTAATGCTCCTCCTTAAGTGAAAGAAAGTGTTACGCGTAATTACGTGTAACGTAATTACGACTGGAAACCCTAATCATTTTTTATATATTTAGAAAAAAGTAAGTTCAGAGATTATAATTAAATTTAAACTCGAGATGGTTTCAATTCAATTGTTAATTTTACTCTACAGTAAATAAACAATACAAGTACAAATTAAATGTCGACAAAATATAAAAGTCAGAACTAAAACATTTTTATTCAAGCACCATTTTCGAAACCTGATTTTAAGAGTATGCATTTCATAACAATTCTTTTTAGATTAGATTCAGTATCTTATCAGCAACTTTAAAACACAACTTGCTCTTTAACTGCAATACATACAATGTACATCAAATGCACCCAAGTTTTTGCAGGGCAACTCAGGGGGAGCAGGGGAAGGCATGCAGCCATTGACCACTACTATTTTCTCTTCCATGCCACCTATTTGATTTTTTGTCTTCCGGTTCTCCCATGTTCTGCAATCGAATTTTGAGAAAAATCAGTCAAGGGTTCCTGAGTTATGATCGGACAAACAAAACAAACAGAGATTACTACTTGGGAACCCAGCGTTGCCGTTTATCCGCGCTTGGTCGAAAATTACGATTTTAGCTGTATACGCAACTGCAATTAACTTTCCTTGCAAATTATAACCTTGCATAGATGACATATGCTCTATTTGAAATTACGCTTACTGCAGTCTCTTTTTCTTACTGAATGTGTTCTTCAGCGCATCGACGAATGTGGAGTGTGACGAACTATTTCCTGTTTAACCTAACTCTAGCAGACCTCATGATGGCAACCCTTAATTGTATACCCTCATTTATATTCATGAGGGACAGGTATTTTACTATTAGGTTGTATACCTTCTTTTATATTCATGAGGGACAGGTATTGTACTATTAGGTGTATCTACAAACTTAATTCTTCAAAATAAGTTTTCACGTAGTTCTTTTATTACTCTGATATCTTTTTACAATGAGTAAGATCTAATTGGTCCTCAGATATCCCATTACCAACTAAATAAACTGGTTAGATCTAGTCCTCAGATATAGTTTAATATTAGTGTTTGTTTTCTAGTGTCCGAAAATGTAAAGTTAGAAATATCGTCATTTTAAAAGAATTGAGAATGTCCTTTGAAAAGTAGCTAAAATTTAATTATAGGTTCTATAATATTCTATTCTTTATATCTTTGGTATACTGTTATACCAACACTACTGGTATAATTCTTGGATATTTAAGTTTTGCATATTTGCTTTCACAGAATTCATAGATTGAAATTTCAAAGTCTACGAGAAGGAGGTAGTAAATATATAAGGAGTAGAAAATGATAGTTTACGTCAAGCTATAGGGTGTCCCAAGCAACATGAAGTTGGTAAATAGTTTAAAATGTCTTCTTCCATAGTTTTTTAAGCTGCTTATTACCAAAGACAATAATAAAAATATAATATAGGAGTCATATTATCTAGTCCTCAGATATAGTTTTATATTAGTGTTTGTTTTCTGTGTCCAAAAATATAAAGTTAGAAATATCGTCATTTTAAAAGAATTGAGAATGTCCTCTGAAAAGTAGCTAAAATTTAATTATAAGTTCTATAATATTCTATTCTTTATAGCTTTGGTTTACTGTTATATTAACACTGCTGGTAAAATTCTTGGATATTTAAGTTTTGCATATTTGCTTTCACAGAATTCATAGATTTGTCAAAGTCTACGAGAAGTAGGAAGTAAATATATAAGGAATAGAAAATTATAGTTCACGTCAAGCTACAGGGTGTCCCAAGAAAAATGACAGTTGGTAAATAGTTTAAAATGTCTTCTGCCATTACCAACTGTCATATTTCGTGGGACACCCTGTATCACCGCCTATGACAGTACACTTTGTCATATTTATATCATGATTTTTTTCTGGTTCAGGGTGTGGACCTTAGGATACATCTATTGTAAGATCAACACCTTCCTCTCCTACGTAACAATACCAGCTAGTGTCTTTACTCTACTAGCTATAACCATTGATAGAAGAAAGGTAAAACCATTTTACTTTTTATATTCCTTCCTTCCTCCATTTTACTTTTTATATTCCTTCCTTCCTCCATTTTACTTATAATATTCCTTTCTTCCTCTATTTTACTTTTGATATTCCTTCCTTCCTCCATTTTACTTTTGATATTCATTGCTTCCTCCATTTTACTTTTGATATTCCTTCCTTCCTCCATTTTACTTTTGATATTCCTTCCTTCCTCCATTTTACTCCTCTTAAGAATGTTTTCAAAAAGGGACTGTTCGCGTTATTTCTAGTAACCCTCTCTATGGCAATGCCCGGTTCATAATAATTCTCCTAAAAGCTTTGTCAGATTATCTATAAATTAGATATGAACGACAATAACTTTTACATTATTTATTAGATTAAGAAGTGTCAAGGGTACCGTTGTGAATCAGGCATTATGGAAGGGGCAAATGAAATTTATACCAAAATCATAAAATGACATAAAAAAAGAGGTTTAAGTTGCATTTTTGAAGAAAAAATAAGAAATAATAAGTTGAGAAGCATTTTGGAGAAAGAAAGTAGTTTCAGCAGCATTTTGGAAAGAAGACAAGAAAAACAATTTAGCAGCATTTTGAAATCGAGAAAAAAGAAGTTGTAGATTTACTTTATGGATTAATGAACAATAACAGATAGAACACTGGATATTGTCTTTTTAAGATTTAGAGGTTTTTCGTTCACAATAACACTGAGGCAGAAACCAAAAGGGGTTACGCGCATGCTTAGAGAAAAAGCCTGTTCTATGCTGCATGAATGTAACTCTTTTGGGCTTCTGCCTCAGTGTTACTGTGAAGGAAAAACCCCTAACTCTTAAAGGAATACATCTACTGTTCTATCTGTTATTGTTATATAATCTATGCTTCACATAATGGATCAGCAGACAAGTAGCATCACAAAAAGAAAAAAGTGTTGACGTGTATGTAGATCTTTTATTTCTTGCTAAAAATGAAAAACAATTTAATGAAATGAATCATTTTCAAGAAAAGGAAAAAAATTGATTAAATTTCAAAACCTAATTTTCTCTCAATACCAGTTGTGGCTATTGTTGGTAAAACCACTCATTTTCTGCGCTGGAAAATAAAATAAAATTGTTATTATTTACCTCACCCCCCCAGCACGATGGGGTATTTTAAGGGGTCAGGGGGGGGAACTGGTTTTTGTCACGATACTCCTCTTAAATGCATTTGTCTTGTGTTTCATGTTGAGAATGGGTAAAAAGACAATATTATTCATACAATATTTACAATATTGTATGAATTGTAACTTGCATTAATTCAATTTATAATTACTTTTTCCGTACATATAGTTATTCTTGAATGGATCCTGTAAACCCGCAATATATTTCAATGTACTCTTTGTTACAGCGAGCTTTTTGGAAGAAAACATATTTTATAGAAAAAGCACAAGAAAGCACAGCGGTTTCGGGATAATCTAAATAAATAAATAGGTTCTAAAAGCCGTAAAGAAAAGATTTAGAGGCTCCAGCAGCACCCCAAAAGCTTGATTTTGTCAGGGTAGCGTGTTGAAAAATCCTATTTTAAGAGTTTTCAATGAAATAGCGGGGTTTCGGTCTAAATTCTTAACTAAAATATAACATTTAAACAACTTAGAGACTTTTCTGAATCAAAAAATTCTTAAGCACAAGCCTTATTTGACATAAATAAGAGGTTTATGGAATAAAACTAAGTTTGGCTGACCCCCCCCCCTAATACCCCACTGTGCCCCCCCATACTCGATTCCCTTTCTTCTCTTAAAGGCCGGTCTTAAAGTCACCCTCCCCTAAAAGAGGGAATGCCCAATTTTCAACAAGGGCAGAGAACTCCGTGTGTTCATCTCTAAAATGGTATTTAAATTGCCATGAAACTGGAGTGTACGCTTGCGTACGGGGGGATCAAACACAGCTGACTTTTTCAAACTTTTGAATGTAAATATTTATTTTCTGCATTCTCTAGAAAATATATATTAATATTTCTGATATATAAAAACCTCTTACAAAACAAAGTGTTCAATTCAACCTTTACAAGCGTTTCTACAGATAAATAAGACTATAGTCGAAGGTTTAAAGGGTACTGTTGTAAATCTGACACCCCAGTTAGAAATGGAGGGCTGCTTACAGTGCCTTTAAAGATTCAAGATTGTTTGGGTTCATGTTCTACTGTGATAAGAAGAAAATTACGTGGAATAGGAAGACGACATAATAACAACACTGAAGTGCCTCTGACAAACAAATAGGTTTACTAGTAAGTTGTTATTACTTATTAAGTGAAATGGGTCATAACTTCAGTCTAAAAGTCGACTTCCTATTTCAGAGTTTTTTATACTCACTGCTATAAGACATCGTTATACTCTACAGTTACAAACTTTTTTTGATTGAAAGAAATAGGTAGAAACCAATTTTACTAATTAGATCAATTAAGCTTAGTTCCTAATTGTACGGAGGATCAATTTACTTAGGTGTACAGGGGGAAAAGGGCTGGGGGGGGGGGAATTTTCTTTCCATCTGGTAAATAAGTTGTAATACAGAATTTTTAACTGTCCGCGTCTCCATTTTGAAAAAGAAAATTTCAATAATTACATTATGGCCGTTTCCAATACTGAAGTCTTCAAATTGGCATTCTTGAAAAAAAAACATTTAAATAAATTAAATTCTGAAAGAAAGAGATTGATCTTCGACAGAAATTGCAAAAATATGTTTTTTTTCTGAATTGAGATACCCTCTGAAATTCTAAACTATATATACGTTTAACCCTTTATCTGAGTATACGACAATGAAAGAGATATCTTGGAAAGGGATCATTTCTGTCAATTTTCTGCTCTGTCTCTGCTGCATTAATCCATAAGAAAGCCACTATTTTTATAGAAAATTATTTGAATTTACTTCGACAATCATTTTTAGATCCATTTAGAAATGATCGTGCCGAAATTGTTAGCGTAATTTCAAGTTACCCTCCATGCAAAGCTGACAATTCCCGATTCACAACGGTACCCTTGAAACTTTTATCTGATTAATAATGTCGTTTTTCTAGGTTTAAAAGTATTAATTCTGATAATTCTTACATGTTTTCCTTAAATAAAATGCGTAATTTACAAATTTTTAGAGAATATAAGCAATTAGAAATATTGAGTTTTCCAAATTATAAACATTGAGATCGAATTTCTAATTGACCGTTGTAAATCGGACCTTGCCATATTTGCATGGAAGATCACTTGTAATTACGCTTACATTCCCTTTAATTTAGTATTCTTGTATTTCGCTCAATTCCGCGCAATTCGAGAACAGTTACGCGCAATTCCGCGCAACGAAACTTCTATAAGAAACCCTAATTCTAGGCTATTGTGCGCCCCTTGGAGCCTAAAACGTCCCGGATGAAAGTTTTGATTACAATCCTTGTCATCTGGATTCTTAGTAGCATCATTTCTCTTCCTCCTACACTCGTCGCTAAACACTTTCTTCATGGCAGGTAAGATAATATGTTTTACGCCTTTGACTAACATTACCGACCTGTAAATCTCCTGAAATAGGGGTGTTAACTAAGTTACTTAACGTCCGTTGGGACAATTATGTAAAATTAGCAACCACTCTTCGAAGTTATCATATAAAAAATCGCGCATTTCATCTTAAAAGACGGTAAATTGTATGCAACTTCTATTTCGGGAAATTCTAAATTTTACTTAACCATAAAGGGTTCCCTGGACCAAATTTTCCCACAAAACATCCCTCGCTGCGCTTTGGATGTTTTGTAAGCAAAATTGGTCTTGGAAAGCCTTGTAAAGTAAATTTCCCTGTAAAATAGTTGTAAATAATTATTCTCATTTTGCTTATTAAAATAGTTTAACAGTTGGTAACATCCATTAAAGTCACAAATAAGAAGTATTTTGAAAAAAGTCACAATTGCATCGACCAAAACAGTCCTGAGGGAAATAGTCATCGTGTACTGGAAACAAATGTATCGGAAATAAAGCTTATTTTCTGATATCCGGAAGAAAAGTCCTATAAGATGAAAAAGAATACGACTTTTTTCCGATGACTTTTTTTTAGAACTTTGATTTTCTTATGACCTCATTAGAGTGGTTCNCCCCTCCATTCTTTAATCTTAACATAGGAGAGAAGTTAATTTTATGCGAGATAACTGACAACACTTTGCAACTTTCTAACTTCTCTAGTCATCATTTAAAACCCAAAAGGGCGGGAGTATTCTTCTAGAACTGGGCGTCGTTCTCAGGGAATGATCGTTCTTTCACAGGAACGAACGGAATTATCAAGAACGATCCCATTGATCTAAAAAAGAACGAACATATAGAACGCGTTCTTAAAAATATCCATAAAGGAATTGACTCTTAGCAACAAACTCTGATTTTCTAATCCCTATATCTTTGGATTCCAACGTCGTAAACCTTTGAAATTTCAAACTATGACTTTTGTCGACATTTTACGACATTGGGTTCCAAAGATATTGGGATTAGAAAATCAGAGGTTGTGGCAAAGAGTCAATTCAAAGATATATCAAGAACAAACGTGGAACGAACGTTAATTGGTTAAAAAGAACGGTCTGGACTCTGGAATCGTTCTATAAAGTGGGGTTGGCCAGTGGTATTCGACACAGGGATGGAACAATTGGAATAAGAACGAACAATCATAGCGGAACACCTTAGAACAAGGAAGGAACGGTTTTAAAAAAAGGAACACGCTCAGCGTTAAAGACAAACTTGCCTAGTTCATAGTTGTATAATAAGGATCATCTTTATAAAACTAGCCTTAGAGGGCGCTTCGCGCCCATCTTCTAAATTAATTGTGAACATGTTCTCTTTGTGTACATCGTAAAACAAAACAAAAATAAAAAAATAATTCGCGAATTTTCACAAAAAATTTCGTGGATTTTCAAAATTTTCAAAAATTTAATGAAGATCGAATTTTGATGGAGACAAATATTTGAAATTTTGATCATTAATAAACCTTCCCTGGGGCTCCGTGAGGTCCCACAAAAAATTTGGGCCCGATCGGTTCAGCCGTTTTGACGTTTATTGGATACAAACAAACAAACAGACACTCAGACAGACAAGCCAAATTTATATATAGATAAAACCTCTATAAAGCTCTAACTTCTTATCTGATAATTTTTTTATAAACTTTATTTTTCTATTGTTTTCTTGTTGAACTTTTAAAACCCTTTAAAGAGAACGGGGAAATTTGAATTCGAAACCTTTTTGCATTTAGGTACAAAATTGTAAAGCTTTAACTTTTAACATTAGTGCATCAGTATTCAGCAGTTTTAAGCTTTAGCTTATCCTAGGAAAATACATTTAACAAATCTTTTCCACTAAAAACAGTTAAAATGGAAAGGTAGAAAAATCAAAAACTAAGCTTCTAAAATTCAGCAAAATTCTGTCAGTAAAAGTTATTGTTAATTATATTATTTTTTTTAAATTGTGGTTTAAAAACAATCATTTTTTTATATTTTAAACAACATTGTGTTTTAAAGAATTATTTTTCAAACAACATTGTGTTTTAAAGAATTATTTTTTAAACAACATTGTGTCTCAAAGATTTATTTTTCAAACAACATTGTGTTTAAAAGACTTATTTTTTAAGCAACTGTGCTTTTAAAAATTTATTTTTAAACAACATTGTGTTTTAAAGACCTATTATTGAATTTAATGATTGCTATTTTGGTTTAAACATTATCATTTTTTAACTTTTGAAGATTCAAACCAAAACAAATTTTAAATCTAAATAGACACATATGGAAAGGTTTTTTTATTTTTGAATAGATAAAGATAATGATTGATATATAGATGTATAGGTTGCATGAGAGATAAATAAATAATCAAAAAAGAATGAATAGATAGTTCGATAGATAATAGAAAGTTCGATAGATAAATAGAAAGTTCGATAGATAAATAGAAAGTTCGATAGATAAAGAGAAAGATTGAAGATGAATAGATATGAAAGCTCTATAGAGATAGAGAATAGATAGATTTATAGTTGTATTGATAAATAAATAGATAGATGGATAGCAAAACACCGCTATTAGAAGCCTGTCAAAATTAATTGCATCAATTAAGGCTCATTAATTTATATAAGTAAAAATCGATCACATTCACACCTTTCAGTCAATATAGATATTTGCAGTATACAGTAAACAGCTAGCATAGGACTAGACCTGGCGCCGTTAACGGAGAAAGATCGTTTTTTTTCAATTTACGAACGGGATTTCCAATTAAAGAAAATGTAAAGATTATAAATTAAAGGGAGGTACAAACGGATTTTTAAAAAATCTTTTCTCGTTAACGGTTATCACATTTAAACGACCAAAAAAGGGTCAACAATGTTAATGTTTAACATTTCTTTTCAAAATTTGCATAGAATACATAGTTTAACAACTAGTTTAACAACTAGCTTAACTACTAGTTTAACTACTAGTTTAACTACTAGTTTAACTACTAGTTTAACTACTAGTTTAACTACTAGTTTAACTACTAGTTTAACTACTAGTTTAACAAGTAGGTTAACAGCTAGTTTAACAACTTAGAGTTTACCTATCACTATAGTTTCAGTAGAAGTAAATATTTCCATTTACTGTTATAGCGCCGATTAAAGGATTTAAATGTCTAATTGGATGATGAGATAGAAAGAAAGATAGATGTTACCGCCATACAGTTTTCAGAGTAGACAACAAACACATGACTGAACCCTGATAGGATCAGGCGCTAATGGAATTGGGATACAAGTGTGATACTAGTTTAACAACTTCAATCTTTATGACCGAAATCAACTCAAGAACTGACGAGGATCAAGTTGTCTACCCAGGCCGAAATATATTTTAAATCAAATATGGAACTTGCATCTACTTTATTTTTTCTATGAAGGTTGGTCCATAAACACCAAATTTTTAAGTTTAAAACTTGGTATTAAATTTAAAAGTCAATAAATAGCTAATGTTGTGTCAGATTGCTGAAATCTTAAGAGTTGTACTGGTGGAGAAACTTTTGTAACTTTTAAACCCTAATTATACAAACTTTTAAAAGATGTCAAAATAACCTGGAGTTAGGACAGCAGATTAATAACGGAACATACTGTCTCCTGGCCACAAACTCTGATTTTTTATTCCCTATATTTTTGCAACCCAGTGCCATTTACCTTTGATAATCAAACTGTAAATTTTGTTAAATCAAATAGTCTAAATTTTAAATATCAGAGGTTTCAAAGATTTAGAGATTAGAAAATTTAAAACTCAGATTATTTGGCTGTAAGTTTCTTTCCCATCCATATCCTTTAGTATGTCAATAAAATTAGATTAATACAAAAAGAGACAACTAAGTTCAACCTAAAGATACTTAAAATTAAATCATTTTGATATGGATCTGGGATCCTGGATCCGCATTTTCAGCTTATTATTACTTCGTCAAACTTGCTGATATTTTAGACAAATAAAAAATATGTTTTTTAAATCCAAATTTGTCTGTTTACATTTGATGACCATTAAGAAATTAGAGAGTTTTTTTAGGAATCTCTTATTAGCTAACTTTTGAGATCTATGTTTTGATGTGGTAAAATTTCTGCCAATGATATCTGTTACCACTTGGATGCGGATCCCTAGATCTGTATATGTTGCGGTTGCAGATGTCATGTCATAATTTAAAACTTTCTAGACGATAAAAATATCTTCCTGATTGTTTTAACGAAGTGGTTCCTGTCTCTATCGGATTTTTTTCAATAATATTTTGATCTCTCATTTCAATCCGTCAAAAATATCGTAAGAGATCTTTCATAATTTTTGCACAAAAAGTGCAAAAATAAAATTGAATGGGGAAAATGGGTTCTAAAGTTAATTCTGACTTTTATCCAATTAAGTTATGCACGTCTCACATTGTAAAAGGTGTTAAAGTATTTCGGAATAGTTTTCGTAAAAATTCCGTTGAATTTCATGTGATTTAATTCAGCCAACATGAGATTTTCAAGAATTATTTCAGACTCAAGAAACCTTTCTCAAAATCAGTTAAAGGTTCAAGCTTTCATTCAAACCTTGGAAATCATAAAAATAAATTTCTCTTTGCCCTTCTTTCTTGGTTTTAAATATGTATTTTGGTGGAACTAAGCTTTTTTAAATGTTGTTTAGTTAAACCGAACAAAATGTATTTTGGAGGTAAACCCGTTTGGGCGTTTAATAATTTATTTTGGAGGTAAACCCTTACGGGAGTTTAATAATGTATTTTGAAGGTAAACCTGGACGGGAGTTTAATAATGTATTTTGGAGGTAAACCCGTACGGGGGTTTAATAATGTATTTTGAAGGTAAACCTGTACGGGAGTTCAATAATGTATTTGGAGGTAAACCCGTACCGGAGTTTAATAATGTATTTTGGAGGTAAACCCTTACGGGAGTTTAATAATGTATTTTGGAGGTAAACCCGTACGGGAGTTCAATTATGTATTTTGGAGGTAAACCCGTACGCGGGCGTTTGATAATGTATTTTGGAGGTAAACCCGTATGGGCATTTAAAAATGTATTTGAGGGTAAACCCGTACAATGCTCGTTTAAAAATGCATTTTTTGGGTAAACCAGTAATTCTCGTATAAAAATGTATTTTGGGGTTAACCAGTACAATGCTCGTTTAAAAAAGAATTTTGGGGTAAACCAGTATATAATGCTTGTTTAAAATGTATCTTGGGATAAACCAGTATAATGCTCGTTTAAAATTGTATTTTGTGGTAAACCAGAACAACTCTCGTTTAAAAATGTAATTTGGTGGTAAACCAGTACGATGCTTGTTTAAAAATGTATTTTGGTGGCAAACCTGTACAATGCTTGTTTAAAAATGTATTTTGGTGGTAAACCTGTACAATGCTCGGTCAAAGATGTATTTTGGGGGTTAACCCGTACAATGCTCATTTTAAAATTAATCTGAAGGTAACCCTGCATATATGTACTATACAATTTTTTTAAGCATCATTTGGCAAAGAAACAAGTATTTGCAACTATTTTGGTGATTAATGGTAGATTCAAAAATGTATTATATGGCCTGTGACTTTGGCTTGTACTGTGTACACTTTTTGTTTTTTTTTCTAAATTGTAGTCTCGTACTTTAAATAAAACTTTTTATTTGGGTATAAGTACAAATAATATGCCAGAGGTGTAAAAAAAGTATTTTTAGTTTTTTTGAATGTGGGTCAAAATCTCCATATCAGAATTTTGAAAAAATTTTAGGTCAAATTTATGCGACCTTAAGTGAAAAACTTTGTGATCTTGTAGCTCCTCTAGGATGAGAAAAACGAATTTATCTGGATAAATATTGGAAATTCAAAGCTTTTTTGATCTTGTCAATAGCTCTTCTAAAAAGGGAATTATGATTAAAAACATTTATGATTTTAATCTTCTCTAGATTTACTTTAGTTTGACATGTTAATGTTAAGTAAAAAATCATTGAACTTGAACTTGTACTATTGTTTGATATTCTTAAAATATATTATTTTAGATGTGGGAAGAATTATATCTGTGTCCCAATCTGGCCATCGACAGAGTCAATCGATGCTTCTCAATATGATCATGTGTAAGCATTAGATTTTTTTTATTATTTCTATTTTATTCGTTCGCAGTGCCAAAAACTTTTGAAGATAAATTTCCTCTCTGTAATCAACTTTATTTTAATTACTTGATTATCTTTAATTTTTTTTCCTTTTTATTAGTCTGTTTAACCCTTGCTATGCTTGACTAAGAATGTTAAAAATTCTCAAAAGTTTCGAAAAATAAACAATCTCGCCCCCCTTCAACTATGTAGTAGGTATATGAAAAGGTATTACAGCACTGTGCTATATGATACACCTAATATTACATTATAGATGATAACTTTATAGAACGATTTAATGAAATTTACCAAGAAGTGACCATGAGTAATAAAGCACAAAATAGTTTCATAAAAACAAAAATTATATTCTTAAAAGATCCGATTTAAATCTAGATATATATCGAAACTCTATATCAAGCTCTATATTAATATATCTATTATAACTTTAGGGCAAGTTCATTGTAGAAAGTTGCAAAAAGTTTTACATACTGTTATTATGGAATCAGCCTAACATAGAAAACCATGGAATGGGGTTTCCACATGGAATGTTAGTGCTACTCGCACTTGGTGTACAGAGCCTGAAAACCCATGAAAAGATGCTTGACTGGGTTTCTGAATGGAAAATTACTGGGTAGATAAGCACAAACCCTAGAAAACAGGGAATGAAGTAAGGACAAGTTAGTTTGGCTCCAGCTCTAGCATGGAGATGACGAAGAAATTCGCCAACTCCCCACAGTGGTAGGATGGACAATCTAAGAAGCAGTCAGTACAAAGGAATGGAAACTGCTTGGTTAGATTGGAGCTGTGGGAAAAACAATATGTTGCTGGAGGAGATATGTTGACGGAGGAGATATGTTGCCGGAGGAAATATGTTTCTGAGGAAGATATATTGCTGGAGGAGATTTGTTGCCAGAGGAGACATGTTGCTGGAGGAGATATGTTTCTGAGAAGATATATTGCTGGAGGAGATATGTTGCCGGAGGAGATATGTTGCCGGAGGAGATATGTTGCCGGTAGAGATATGTTGCTGGAGGAGATATGTTGCTGGAAGAGATATGTTGCCAGAGGAGACAAGTTGCCGGAGGAGATATAATTCTGGGGAAGATATATCGCTGGAGGAGATATGATGTTGACGGAAGAGATATGTTGACGGAGGAGATATTTTGCCGGAGGAAATATGTTTCTGAGGAAGATATATTGCTGGTTGGAGATATGTTGCCAAAGGAGATATGTTGCTGGAAGAGATATGTTGCCAGAGGAGATGCCATGTTAAAGAAGGTGTCTAGCCAAAGGAAGTATCTAGCCAAAGGAAGTATCTAGCCAAAGGAGGTATCTAGCCAAAGGAGGTTTCTAGCCAAAGGAGGTATCTTGCCAACGAAGATATCTAACCAAAGGAGGTACCTAGCCAAAGGAGGTATCTATCCAAAGGAGGTATCTAGCCAAAGGAGGTGTATCTACTCAAAGGAGGTATCTACCCAAAGAAGGTATTTTGTCAAAGGAGGTATCCACCCAAAGGAGAAACACATCACTGAGTACAGGAAATCCAAACCTGTGACTCTGGATGAACTGTAGCAGTATATCTACATCGCTTTAGTTCTTTATTTCTTTCATTTTAAATGTTTTTTATGTAAATGTTCAGCCACTTTGTTCTTTTAATTTGTGCTTGACTTGATGAATATTAGAATATATGACTTTGGGTTTTTCTTTTCATATTTAACTATTTAACCATACACGGTGGACTAAGCCAGTGGGGTTGGTCAAATAGGCCTATAGGATTATGCCGGGTACTGTAACAAGTCTGAACGCGCCATGGGAGTTGTCATAGTGAGCCCTCGCACGGAACTATGTCAAGAAAATTGGCCCCTGTCGTTTGTTAGTCTGGTTAGGGCGACGTACTGTACCATAGGATCGGGTCAGTACAAGCTGTTATCTGGCAGGCCGGTACAAACTGGGCAGGTCCTGTTCGAATTCAAATTTACTACGGGGATAGAGTGAATACATTTAACCCTAATCTTATAGTCGAGAAAGAGTGCAAAAATGAGTTATCAACTGGTATTAAAGAAATTAAGAATATAACATACTACCTAAGGTTGGAACTTTTGAACGCTTAATCTCGATATTCAATGTAGGAATCATTGCTTTATCCTCAATTAAAATTGTTCCTGCACGGGATACCGATGAGGATTTAAATCTATCTGTATGCCTGCGTCAGATGGAGATTAATGCTTGATCTCACAAAAGTTCAGATTTCTGTTCGGATTTGAAAATTATATAAATCATTGGAATCGATGTTAGGTGTTTCCCAATAGGCATTATCACAAGTAAAAACTTCCCAAATGTGCAATTTCTCAAGCGGCAACATTCCAGCTGCAGGCCTAACCTAACCTTTGGAAAGTCGCCATTATTTCTGTCATTATTGTGATTCTTAAAAATTATATTCATGAATATTGTTTTTTCTGCAGAAATAAATGATTTGATTTGATTTCTTTATGTCGACTATATCAAATGACAACAAAATAAAGTGTCAACTGGATCATTTGTCGCTGGATCTTTTTTTGCTGGAAAAAATTTCGTGGCGCCACATGAAATTGAGTTATACTGTATCGACTACAAAGTGTACGATTTCAATTTTATTAATGGCATTATTAACAGAGTATATTTTTTAGAACATTAATGGTGCCATGAAGAGGTATTTTTTGCTTGTTATAATGATTTCAAAATTAACGGTTTTGACTGGTCGTTAACAAAATCTTCAATTAATTTTCAAAAACTTTTCACAAACTACATATTCACATATTACATATTCACATACTACATATTCACATACTACATATTCACATACTACATATTCACATACTACATATTCACATACTACATATTTTCTTTTCTTTTTAGATACAATATCCTGTTCAGCGTGATCACCTACCTCACCCCTATGATAGGGATGGGAATATGTTATAAACAAATCTGGAAAAATCTCTGGGGTGGAGAGTGTATAGGTAAATGGAAATAGAGAGAGGTAGTTTAAAGGGACCGTTCACTTATTTGGGTAATTTCAGGGTAAACTGAACTGCCTATTTGCTCTTGATTGGTAATAGTCTTACAAAGACAACTGTGGCCGAAGAAAAATCCGATTTTTCGTTCAGAATTTGAGCGGAAAGTGACGGTCCCTCTCTGTAGACACTATTTGATGTTTTTTTTCAGTAACAGTAGCCCAATAACACTTAAATTTATTATATTTTAATGTCATTATGTGTTCGTTATTATGTACTAAAATATGAAAACTTTTGATATTTGAGTTAGCAAGAAATTTACGTTTTTCGTATTAAAACATGTAAAATATGTATACAAAGACGACGTCTCTAAGACAATCAATTAATCATTACTCGTATTTTGGTTCGTAGATTTTGTAGATTTTGTTCGCGTATGTGCACAACTTTTCATTTGTCATGCCGCGTTCAATTCAGCTTTTTACACAGGCAATACAAAATTTTGAATGCGATAAAATAGTGTTATTTTAGAAATAGAAAGTTAAAAAACAACAAAATTAAAAAATAATGACATTTACAATTAACGATTAGGTACTACACTTTAATTTATATTCGAAATTTATTTTGATTCACTTCATACTGAAAAAAACATCAATTAGTGTCTATAGAGATTGACCGCCCCTTTTCCACTTGAATTCTGAACGAAAAATCGGCTTTTTTTCGGCCACAGTTGTATTTGAAAAGTAAGACTATTACCAATAAAGATCGAATAGGCTGTTTAGTTTACCCTGAAATTACCCAAATAAGTGAACGGTCCCTTTAACTACTTATGATTAGCTGAACTACCACTGAATATAGATAACTCGGAAAATTGGTCATCAATCTTTTAGACTTTAGACACTTTATAGTATCGTAACACCTTGGTCTATGATTATACCTTACCACTCACTGATCCTTTTTTGTAGTCCTAGGCATATACAATCAAAAAATGCAACGCACTTGTTAAGCTAGAAGGAGTAATTGGCCAAATACTGTTTAATTTCTGCATGCGAGTGTGCCAATAAACAATTTCTAGTTTGTTCATTTTATCTTAGACTTAATGTAGTTGAAAAGTTTTTAAAGATAAATTTTAAAAGAAAATTTTGTTAAATTTATTTTTGTCATTTTTGCTAATCTTCCTGGAGTAGACCATTCAACTTATTTTAACTTTCAAAAATAATCTGCTCTTTGAAATTGGACTTTTGACATGCCTCCCACGCATCTAATAATAACTTTTAACTTAAAAAGGGGGGCCAGGAGGGGAGTGGGGCCGGGGGGGATTCCCTCTCAATGGTAATGTAATATGCAGTCTGTTTTGATGATTACGTGTATTATATTATTTCAATTTGTTATTATTGGATGAGGGGAAAAAAGCCTGTTTTATATCAATAACAAATTAGTACTGTTTTGTTCCCCAACATGGTTTAGGCAAAAATGGTTTTGCAGGTTTTTTTTAAATCACCGTAACTTTAATTTATGTTTACTTTGGGTGATTGTATCTTAACACTATTCATTTATTGTGAACACTCTCTTTATGTTCAGTTTTATTTAACATTAACGTTGTAGAAATACAATCAATGCTCAATGCTCATATATATATGTTTTAATCAATGTAAATGTTTTTTAGGAGAAATAATGGTGCATCCCGCCGTTCTGAAATCTAGGCAAAACAAGAAAAGAGTAAGTTAAAATTTCCAATAATATCCAGGGATGTATATTTTCTTGAAAAATAATTCCCCCCCCCATCTACATCGCTTTAGNGGGGTTATCAAAAAGAATCTAAAAACTTGCCTTCTAAGTTCTCATCTCAAATCTTAAGATTGTAAGAAATTTTCTGATTAGAAAAAAATTTATGAAAAAAACATACCTAGCCCTAGTTATTTATTGTTAATGGATAAAGCAAGTTCAATGTTCAGGTTGTGATCTTGTTCAATGTACAGGTTGTGATCATGTTTGCTGTTCAGCTTGTGATCATGTTTGCTGTTCAAGTAGTGATCATGTTTGCTGTTCAGATTATGATCATGTTTGCCGTTCAGGTTGTGATCATGTTTGCTGTTCAGGTTGTGTTCATGTTTGCTATTCAAGTTGTGATCATGTTTGCTGTTCAGGTTATGATCATGTTTGACCTTCAGGTTGTGATCATGTTTGCTGTTCAGGTTGTGATCATGTTTGCTGTTCAGGTTTTGATCATGTTTGCTGTTCAGGTTATGATCATGTTTGCCGTTCAAGTTGTGGTTTGCTGTTCAGGTTGTGATCATGTTTGCTGTTCAGGTTATGATCATGTTTGCCGTTCAGGTTGTGATTATGTTTGCTGTTCAGGTTGTGATCATGTTTGATGATCAGGTTATGATCATGTTTGCCGTTCAGGTTGTGATCATGTTTGATGTTCAGGTTGTGATTATGTTTGCTGTTCAGGTTATGATCATGTTTGCTGTTTAGGTTGTGATCATGTTTGATGTTTAGGTTGTGATCATGTTTGCCGTTCAGGTTGTGATCATGTTTGCTGTTTAGGTTGTGATCATGTTTGCTGTTCAGGTTGTGATCATGTTTGCTGTTTAGGTTGTGATCATGTTTGCCGTTCAGGTTGTGATCATGTTTGCCGTTCAGGTTGTGATCATGTTTGCTGTTGTGATCAGTATCTTTATGGTCTGCTGGCTCCCCTACCAACTCTACTTTATCTTCCTCTACTATATTCCTTCCGTCAAATACTTCAGATATATCGGTAAATTTATAATTTTTTTTCAATATTTAGAATTTATTTATTCATGAGGAGAGCTAAGATCATATCATCTTCATTCTAAAGTGTATTAAAAACTGATATAAAAAACAATTATTTTCAACCCCATTCGAAAACAATGAATTATAATATTGGGTGTTGCTTTCTTAATATCGAAATATTTTGTAATTGGCCAAACGTACGCGCAGAAATTGCATTGATAGATAAAGTTATATTGAAAGAAAATGAAGAGTTAAAACTTATTCCATAATCCCCTCAAGTGCACATAATGGACCACCCTATAGACCTATAGCAAAATTAATAGGGTGGTCGATTGTGTACATCAAGATGTGCACATCACGATGTCGTAACGTATCTAAGGACGTGTATGCACTCGTATAAAGAGTGTTCGTTGTTCGTATTTCTGGGGGGGATTTTATGGTATTGATCAATTTTAAGATTTTTGTTCTTTATATAAAGAGAATTCGAGAATCTTGACTGCAAGCATTTTACAAGTTTTAAAATAAATTTCATAGATTTGAACACAATTAGAAATCTAAAAACAATCAAAAAGGCTAAATGTGCTGATATCGTTATTTTTTCTGATTTAGGAAAGGATTTCGTGCACAATGCAATAATTGGTCATTCTTTTTTAACATAATTAAACAAATAAACTGGAATGTACTGCAGTATACAATCCTATGTTTAAATTCCATATTAAGTGTCTATCTAACAACCTATACTAATATTCAGTCATCAACATTTAACCACCCCCAAAAAATACGATTACTCATAAATACAATTGTTTTACAACAGTTTTAGATATGTACAAGATCGTGACGTACGCAATCGACCATCCTATCATTTTTGCAATAGGGTGGTGTGTTGTGTGCATCTGGAGGGGATTCAGAGATATAAGCTTTTACTTATTTTCTTTCTATGTGTATTAAGTTCTATGTCACGTGTTTACTGTAATATATATATATATTTGAAAATTTATTTTGTTCTGAAAACTTTGAATATTCCACAATATTGTTGTTCATATAGACGACCTTGGTGTTTCCTGTATACAAAACAGTTTGCATATATAGTACACAACATGAATAAAAACAAAATAAAAATTAATCTTTATACCTAAACCTATTAATATAATTCCCTTCACAGATATATGACAGAAAAATTAAAACTTTTATTTACTTTTCAATTGAGAACAACATAAAATATCATCAGCTATGCCAAACAAATTAATAAAGATTTTATCCATTTAAATTCAAGTATTTAAAGAGACTTTCGGGGATTTTCAAGTCCCGCAAGACATTTGCTTTTCAAAATGGGGACAATTGTCCGGCAAATATGACGTCATCATATGCGAAAGAGGATTTTGTCCAAATCTGATAAACCTAAATAATAGTTCACAAAATACTGTATACAATGTTAATTGTACAATTTAGTATCAGTTCGTAGCAAGAAAGTATAAACATATAAATCATGAATTTAAACCACACAATGTGACAATAAGAGAAGTGAAGATTATAGGAAAAATAGAAAGCGAAGTGTTAAATAAAAAGTTTACGAGAAAGGATGAGAATTTAAATCTGAACATTGTATGGTAACAAAGATTAGGGAGAAAGATTAACGTATAGGAAATATTTATTGCAGTTAGTATAAGGTGTAAGGTAAGGATAAGAGGGAAAACCAAGAGAGTTTAACTATATACGAATGCGTCGAAAAATAATCAATGTAATTGTACTATCTGAATGATTTTTTGAAATTAAATTGATTTTCTTATATGGCAACATTCTTCCGTTTAAGTCGTTTTTAATAATTTTCTCCTTTTAGATGCAAAAGATAGAAGTAAGGTTAGTAGCGATAGAAAGCGATTATTTTTCGTCGTAATACCCCCTTTTATTTTTCGCGAATACTCCCTTTAAGTATGAAGGGTAACGAAAAAAAGCGTTTATATTCCCTTTACAACAAAAAGATATTTTGTCTGTTTCTGTTTAATTTTTTTCAATATCTTTAGGTGATCTATATCTGTCCTTCTACTGGTTAGCAATGGCGAACAGTTGCGTAAACCCAATTATTTACTATTGGATGAACTCCAGGTACCCTCATTGCAACAATATTTTTAATAAAAATTCATCCCCCCCCCCTTTTATGTATTATCTCCAAATTTTGAAAAGAGATACAGAGAGCGTCCAATATCATATTGGATTATCCCCAAGCTTTAACGCCAGAATACGCACATAATTCTCGAAAAAACTGGTATTTTTTGTAAGAAAACTTTTATATTGGCCTGTTACATTTTTTAATGATTCATTCTTTTAAAATGTTCTGGTTAGTCCCCTAATTCTCAATTTAGAGTTATAAAATAATTTGATATGATGTGGACTACCGAACGACTAAAAAGTACAAATCTTTGCAGATTTCGTGAATACTTCAACAGTGTACTCTTCTGTTTGCCGCGTTGCTTTTACTGGATAAAAGCGCGCAGTCTGCGTTACAAAGACGACCAAAATCAAGAAACACCAAAAATGCTCAGGAAAAGACAAATGGCGACAGCAGATGATAAAGAATAAGAAATAATATTTCTATATTTTTGCTTGCTTGTAAGAATGGCAATGCAAAGTTTTGTTTACCTTTATATGAAGAAACTTTTATTTGAGTTAGTGATTGCATTCTTTCTTATTGGCTAGCTTGGGAAACCCAGTTTTGTGGATCCACTTTGCTTAAAATTGTTAAAAAAGGGGCCCGACCTGTTCAGCCATTTTGACGTTTTTTGGGTACAAACAAACAGACAAGCAAAATATTAATATTGTTAATAGATGATTACAATCAATTCACTTCATTGACTTAAAAGTGACTTGGAATCAGATTTAATGAATAGCATGAAGTAGCTGAACCGCTTGCAGACGTAGTTCAACCCCTTCTCTTGTACGCTGGTTTAAGCTGAAGAGAAGTGGTTCAAACATGTCTTGTTATATATTAAATTTAACTTTCAATCCCATGCATATAAAAACGTGGCTAAAATTCACTCATTCATTTATTCATTCATCCCACCCTAGTACCTTTTTCATTCCTTTTTGTGCATAGAAATCTATATTTAAGCACGTGTTTTCTTATCCACCCTGTTCTATGTAAACATACGTTATTAAATTTAAATTTAAATTTAAAAGTGACCCTCCATTATGCCAATGCCCTATTCCCAACGGATCCCTTTAAACCTTTATCTCATCAATAATGTGGAAGATATTTTCAGGCTTAAAGTGTTTATTTATGATAAAATCTATATGTTTGCCAGCTGAAGATTTGCGCAAGTTACTTTTGTGGAAAACCCACAATTGAAAATAATCACTTTTAATAATGATAAAGATTAATATCCTATTCATACTATCTTTACATGAAGGGTCACGTGAAATTACGCTTACAGTCCCTTTAAATAGCAATATTTATCAATTTTTCCAAAAATACTTTGTTTGCGATAATTTTCATTATCATTAATCGATTCATTTTCATTAGTCCGTTTATTGATAAACTTGCAAAATATTGTTTTTAAATAATTAGCTTTTATAGAAATAAAGTACTAGCATTTAATAGAATCGAGCTTTCAATCATTCTAGAAGGGTTGAAAAATAAGGTCGACAAAATAAAATTAAATTCAATTAACTCTTTGGGTAAAGATGGCAATGCCTAATTCACAACGGTACCTTTAAAAGCTTTGTTTATTTCAAGTATGAACAAGATATTAACATTAATGATTATTCAAACTGATTGTTTTAAATTTGATTTTTTTCTTTAACAGTGATTTTCCCTTTTGAGTGAAACACTTTTAAAATTAGCAAAACGCCAATATCTTCCATATAATAGGCCAGATATAGGTTACCGTAGTGAATCGTGCATATTGTCATCTTTATATGGAGGGTCACTTGAAATTATGCTTACAGTCCCTTAAATCTTTTCATTTTTATGCACAGAAAGGCATGAGAATTCAAAGCGCGCCTTTTACTTGTTTTTAATTGTTTGAGCTTTGTGCTTAAACCAGGCAATACGAAAATGTTTAACAAGATTTGAAGCTGTGTGTTATAAAAACTTTAGATCGTTTTTAAACAAATCCCAACCCTACTTTCTTGCACTAGAATTATATTATTTTCTTCTCAATATATTTCGCCAAAAACTTTGGCATCATCAGGAGTTTGTCCTATAATATTACAGGTATAAGCAAAAAAAATAAAAATAAATAATACTAACAAAGCAACTCAAATAAACAAAGGAGAGAAAAAATATAAAAGATCTTTTTATGTAACCTTCACAATAAGGAATTTTTCAAAATGAATATTGTCAAAACACATAAAACTTAAAAGATATTATAAAAAGTGTATTTTCCAAAAGGTGAAATGTTTTTACAGATTGGGGCGTACACAGAAATGTGTGCTAATAATGCATAAATATCGGATGCCTGCCTATTGCCCTTTGCCTATAACTAGATTTACGTTGACTTACAATCCAGTTCAGAACGTAATATTTTGGTGCTGAAAATAAAGAATAAACTTATTCGGTATCAGTGGTCTTACACCAATTTTTAAAACATCAATATGGACAGTACTAAAATAACAAATTTTNACCTGTTTGTTTGATTTGTCGTATAACCAGGCTGTGTGAAGAAAGGGATACCGTAAAATCTAGAAAAGGAGAAAGACCGAGACTACTGCTAAAGTCCAGTACTAAAGAAGCATTTCTTGGCGATACTCCACTCTGTGAGTTACATCCAGTATTTTCTATCAGCTTGAGAGAATCCAGAGAACCTAGAGAACTTGGAGAATCTAGACAATCAAGAGAATCTAGAGAACCTAAAGAACCTAGAGAACCTAAAGAATTTACAGAATCTAGAGAACCTAGAAAGCCCTTCCTGCACCAGGAAACTGGTATCCTAGAACCAGAAATATTACCAGCTACAGAGGTTCTCTTATAATCAGACCCCTGGGAACCAGAATATCAGATAAAACCTTAAATTTTAGTTCTCAATAAAATGATTTCGAAATTAGGAACATATTGTTCAAATTTACAAACATATTGATCGAAATTACTTACATATTGATCGGATTTCCATTTGTTCACATTTACTAACATACTGTTCGAATTTACGAACAATTGAACGAATTTACTGCATGTTTTTTATTGTATGAACAAATGCTAAATATTTGTTTTACTTGAAATACTTTCTTATAATTAAGTTTCTGTGGATCTTCATTAAGAACTTCAAATTAATGAGAAATACCAGGTCAACAAAAATGTCCTTCAAAAATAAGCATATAATTTATGGGCTGCGGGTAAATATTTGGTTGTTATGAAAGTAAGGAATTGAGTTTTTGCCACAATCTCAAATTTTCTAATCCCTATATCTTGGCAAACCTTTGAAAACTCAAACTTTGATCTAACATAATTCATGGTTTGAAATATCAAAGGAATCGAGTTGCATAGATATAGGGATAAAGAAATCAAAGATTGTGGCCAAAAAACTTGTTATTACTAGATATTTACAAAAACAGTTTAGCAAGACAAAGTATATAAAAAAGAAAAAATATATATTTAATGTTATCAAAGTAATCAATATTGTAGTATGATGTTACAGAACTTATAAACTTTTTTATCGGAAAAAAATTAAACTATAAAATTCTAAAGAAATTGAGTCTTTGCTACAAACTCTGATTTTCTTATCCCTGTCTAGCTGCCCATCCCAATGTCTCAGACCTGTTTCAAACATAATTCTTGGATTGAAATATCTAAGATTTACACCATCAGGTTGCATCAGGTTAAAAATTTGAATTTCTTGCAAAGACTTGATTTCTTTGAGAATAAAAAAGTTATGAGCCCTACTTTATAACAAGCAGATTTTGTAACAAAAATTTCAAAAAGACTTATAACACAAAACGGAAACATTGTGAATCACAGATGAAAGAAAGGTTTAATTAATAATCGTATTTTCGTCGAAAACCGTTATTATATAAAATCATAAAAAAGATAAAACTAAAATGACTTTAATTTTAGCGATACAATTCAGAAAATGTTGAAGAATTATTTCTGTCATGTAAAATTTTATTGTGGTTGTTAATTGTAATGCTGTTGGTTGAAGGAATATTAAAAAAAATATATATAACGAGGAACAAGGGTATATACACTCGTTTGTAATTGGATTTTCAAAATTGAGAACATTTTTAAATTTGAAAATGACTATTATTGTTATTATTATTATTCCAATTGGAGTGAGTAAATTTGTTAAATACAAAGATAATCTCCGTTTACACATCAGGGTCTATGCAGACTTGTTTGTAATCGGATTTTTAGATTGAGATAAGTTTTTATATCTATATACAATTTCCGATTCAATGATTCCAATTTTAGGCTTGTTATAGATCTAAATCTGACAATTTGAATGGCTCTTAGATTATCTTATTTTTACCAAATTAATCACTCCAGTTGGAAACTTTAGGAGCCCATAAAATTGCTATTTTTAGATCTACAAGTCTAAAATTGGGCATATTGAATCAAAAATTGTACAAAAATGGTCTCAATCTTGAAAATCCGATTACAAACGAGTCAGTAGACCCTTATTCCCCGTTTATTAGACACCCTGGATATATGTTTTAAAAAATTAAACTAATCAAAATCTATAAATCAATTTTTTTCTACTGCTGCGTTTTAAAGAAGAGAAATTTTTCAGCCTAACTTTTTAAACATAAAACCTTCTCGAGTAAACATGTTTTTGAGGGGAGGGGGGATAAGTTTTTCCAAGGGTGTAATGCAAGGAAAGTTAATTGCGGTCGTGTATACTCTGCGTACATATTGGGCGGAATTTGTAAACAAGAATTAATGCATCAGTGTTCGTTTAGTATCCGAGGAGGTTAAAAGCATTAAATTGGATCATTTTGATAATTCACATAATAGTTTCCTATGACCAGAATATTTCATTGATTATTTTATGTGAAAGATTGATCCCATGTCAGGCTGTAACATCCGTCTTGTGTTTACATTACCGCCCAAATACAGTACACTGCAGTACAAAAGATGTGTACACTTCTGAAATAACTTTCCTTGCATTACATCCTTGAGTATTTCGTCGATTGCAGTTTGAAAATAGAATCCTTTCTTTAATACTTCCTTGTCCCTTTATACATTCTTAAATATTTTAATTTCACAACCCGAAAAATGAAATAGAAAAAAATGATAAAACATACATTTAAGGGGAAAAATAGGTTCCAAAATTAAGACTCCCTGACTTTAAGCCAGTGAGGCCTCTTGAGTCTTGACCCAATACTGGGACATGACCTAGTAAGTAAGTAAGAAAGACTTTAAGCCAGGTACTTAATTTATTGAATTTGAGCTACATCGTTAAACCATCTATACTGCCGATTCAAATTTAAATCGCCGATTCAAAGTTAGATTCAGGAAGGATCAAATCGGTGGTTCAATTTGAACCTCGCGGTAGTAGGTAAAGTTCAGCGACCTCGCAATTTTAATAAATTCGGACCCAGGAACTTTAGTTTACCGTGATGGTGTTCGACAAGGTCATATGAGCTAAGAAATCTATTGTCCTGTCTGTATAGTCCTTGGTTAAACCCTTCTAGAACTGTCATCATTTATATAGTTAAATGTTTTGTAGACATATATGTATAAAAAATATATTATTTATGTAATCATTATACATTCATGGAATAAATGTTTGTAAATATCGTTCATATTTATCTAATAATACGAGTTAGGTACTTTCCCAAAGGCTTTTTCCCGAGGGCGATTTCCCTCGTGGCAACTTCCTAAATGTGCAATTTTCCAAGCGGCAATTGTTTATTTAAGGTTATGTTAAATAATGCCTTCTAGGGCGCTGCAGGCTGCAACGGGGGCCGATCGCTGTAGCTTGAAGCGGCTAGGAAGCCAAGCGCTGCGGGTACAACAGACTTGGGAAGTTGCCGCTCGGGAAATTGCCACTCGTAAAATAACCAAGGAAAGTTGCCGCTCGGGAAATTGTCACTCGGAAAAATGACCAAGGGAAGTTGTCACTTAAAAAAATGCCTTTGGGAAAGTAGCAAATATTCAATAAACTAATATTGGAACAAACAAATATTGCAATCAGAAATTCAGAAAATGTCAAACTCAGTTTCGACCCATAGTCATTTCTTAGAAGACAATATATGTATAAATAATACACCTATTTAGATATTTTACTTGTCTTCAGGGGCGTAAATAAGGATTCTGTAGGGGGGGGGGGGAATTTTTTTAAAAGTGGCGCAAATTTTTTTTTCCCCCCCCCCCCCCCGAAAAATATCAGGATTTATATCAAATTATTGGTTTTAGTTGGGTTTGATTTGCATTTTCCACTCATTTCTGGCATTTACAAACTCAATCAAATAAAGGCAACTCATTTCCTACCTCCCAGCTTTCACCTTGTTTTATATCCTTCATTATGTCATTCATTTTAGATTAACTACAAAGATCTGTAAAATAATGAATTTATTTTAAGTAACATAGTTTTACTCTAAGAGTAAAAAGATGTAACTTTTTTAAATCTTCAAAAATCTGCAAAACATTGAAAAAATATTGTCTTTGTATATATTCTTATTTCTAATTTCGAAAATTTTCTTGTCGTCAATGTACTAGGTATATATGTTAATTTCACTATATTAAAATTTAATTCTTAATAATCTTGATCATTTAACATTTACCCCCCCCCCCCCTTCCCCGGAAGAGCTTTATACTTAATCTGACATATATTGCAAGTACGCTACTTCATTAAAAAACTCGATTTTTGGGTAAAATTCATCGATGTTACTTTGTTAAAGTTGATTGAGTAAGATTATGTGCGCGAAGCGCCAACATTTTTTTACATTTTTCCTTTTGATGGTAATCATGGACATGGAGAATGGAGATCAAGATACTAAACGGGGATGTTTGTGTCCACAAGATTCTAGGGGGGGGTAGGTAATTACCCCCAAGGATTTTATAGAGGGGGAGGGGTAAGTAACCCCAAATATCCCCCCATATTTTGGCCACTGCTTCTCTTTCTGTCAAAACTGCAGAAGCGATCGGGCCAAACACTTTATTGCAACAGTTTAAAGATAAAATTGTTAATAGAAAAGGGAGCGCCCCAAAAAGCTTATAAGTTTACAAGTTTACAACAAAATAGAACAAAAAAACTGAGTAAATCGTTAAAGTACAGAGATATTCGCCAGTACAAATGAAAAGTTCTGAGAAAAATATAAAGGAATTGAGTTTTTGCCACAAACTCAAATTTTCAAATCCCTATATCTATGGAACCTGATGTTGTAGACTTTTGATATTTCAAACTAAGATAATTTGATGCAACAGAATTCATAGTTTGAAATATCTAAGGTCTACGACATTGGGTTGCAGAGGTATAGAAATTAGAATTTCAGAGTTTGTGACAAAGACTCAATTCCTTTATGCTCCTGTATGAAATCAAATATAATATGCTCTTCCTTAACAAATTTATAAGTGTATATTCGAAGACATTTTTCATTTTCGATTTATTCTGTCCAAAATCTTTTTGCAAACTTCTGAGTGTCTTCTACATTTCTTTTCCTTATTATATAAAGAACCTGGTTCAGCTGATAGAGATTAATTATTGGAGGATTTAGAACAATATTTTAAGGTTTTCTACTTTTTAATTCTTAATTTTAATCCAAAATTATATGAGAATTTTGCAAATGTGTTAAAATATAAACTATAGAAAATTATTGAGAAAAAAATTTGGAATTTTTATACTTTTATTAAATAATATAATAATTACAATATGATAAAATATAATTTCTAAATAAATAAATAAATAAATGTATTTGTATTCATAAATGTATTTTCTTTATTATTTCACTGTACATAGACTTACTAAATGTTTTGACGGATATTTAAACTGGGGGAAGGGTTGGGTAGGGGGAGGGGGTTGATAAAGGACATAAATGTAATAGTTGTATTGGATCTGGTTTTTGTTTATAATATGTTCCTGGTCATTTTTGTAGATAAAGACTAAGGATTATAACCTCTGTAATGTATGGTGATGAAAAGTCAATGATAAAATAAGCAAATTCTAAATTCAATACAACGATTTAAGATCTTAGTCCTGGTATTGTCGGAGCAAGGATTATTGTTTCAGGCTCAGATTCATCCAGGAGTTAGGGTCGGAGAAGAATAGATCCTGAATACTTATCAGGAACGTCAAGAGTTCCCAGCTAGCGTTTCTGCTCAGACTTTCCTCAAGGAACTGAATAACCTGAGAGTAGATGGGCGGAGGATCTATAGGATCACAGGCTACAAGGACACTGAGTAACCCGATCTCAAGCTCTGTTAATCCGTTCTCACACATCTCCGTAGCAACCAGAGTTAGATCTGAAGCCTGTTTCTCCTGTAGGTCCAGTTGACTAGACATCAGGAACTCTCCAGAGGGGAAAAGGAACGCGTTGACCTCTGGTCTATACCTGGAGAGGAACCTAAGGAACCCAACCAGACATGTTCCGGTCGAACTGAGATGCGCCTGCTGGTCAGCATCCAGGTTTTCGAACCCAGGTAGCTGGCTAATGAACAGGTAGGACTGATTTATGCATGCAGGACTTACATCAGCAGTGGCAGGAAGGGAGGTAGCCAGGCAGCTGATTAAATTCTTAGCATGCTGCCTACCCAGGTAGAGGGTTGGGACAGGAAGCATGGTATCTCGGTGCAGAGCAAGGATTTGATCCTCAAAAGATAGATTTGCAAGGTTTAATTTACCCTCAGCTTTTACAGAGGAGGGATTCATCCCTATGTACAGACATTTCATCCACCTACAAAGGAAAAAGTTAAAACTGTGCATTAAAGAAAACAAAGTTAATTTATAAAATCCCCCCCGTACAGATGGCAATACCAGATTTACAACAGCACCCATGAAACCATTATCGGTTGGATTAAGTGGGAAATATTGTAGTTTTTCTATTGTAAAAAAATATTTCTGATAATTCAATTACGTTTTATTTTGTGCAGTAAATATGCCCTTAAGTCACTTCCGCAAAGAAATCACATTAGAAAATAAGCAGCTTACAAAATAATAAACATTGATATTTAAATCATGATTGATCAGCCACAGCTTTGAAGGGTACAATCGTGAATCGGGCATTGCCATCTTTGAAATTACGCTGACAGTCCCTTCAATGGTTTGTTATTACCTGCAAAGTTTACAGTGTATCCTGTTCCTACCCTCCAGGCGACACATGTTCCCAACCCCGCAGGTCAACTTATGTATGTCCTTGTAGACCACGCGACGCCGGAAAAATCCCTGAAATAAAAAGATTATTAAAAATAACTAAAGGACTTAGTCTCGAGAATATCTAATTCTAATGATTGAATGCATGAGAATCTTCTGGTATTTGGAATCCGTCACGAAATAATATATTATTCACGAAAGTTAGTGATGTTGTCAACCATGATGACGTCAGTCATGATGACGTTATGAGAGAAGCTAACCGCCTGCATCACCTTTAAGAGTCTCTTTAAAATTAGGGTGTTCTACGAACCATGACAGTTGGTCAAAAATTTAAAATGTCTTCTTCCATAATTATTTAAGCTGTTTAATAACAAAGAGAATTTTAAGAATAATTAATGGTAATCATAGTAAAATTGATTTCAAAGTGAAATATATTTTAGTAAAAGATTTTATTCAACGAAAAATATGCAAAAAGTCTTGAATATCTATTACAGTATTGGGAAGACGACAGTCGAAATATTTACCAACTGTCATGTTTCACGGGACACCCTGTATAGACCAGAAAAACTAGTGAAGGATCAACAATGTAAACGAAAATTGCCCTTGTATTTGGAGTATTCAATTCACAACGAGACCATCTAATAATTTTTCTAAAAATGTATTTTGCAGAGTTGCGCAGGGAGAAAAGGAAAGAAATAAAATACAGAAAAGAACGATATATTTTGTAAGTCATGCATCTAACTCTGTTGTGAGAGGTCTTATGACTTCAAAATAGTTCAATTAATATTCCGTTTGTACAGTGATAAACAAAAAACTCTGGAGTAGGTACGACGACTTTTAGACTCAAGTTATGACTTTGAACAGTCCAATGCGCATATAATTGTGTATTGTAAACAGACACATTTCACTTAACACGTGAAAAATATACAGTGAAAACTCTGGAATAGGAAATCGGCTTTTAGACTCAAGGTATGACTTTTAATAGCTCAATGTACATGAGACACGGCAATTGTGCAAGGTAAACAGACCCATTTCCCTTACTAAATGATTAAATAACTCACTAGTAAAACTATTTGCTTTGTGACAACATCAAATTTATTTTAGTATTGCATTAATGTCGTCCTCCTTTACCACAGTTTTCTGGCTGTCACTATAACAAGTTCAAATACACTTAAATATTGCTATAACATATAATACATAAATTTTCCCGACAAAGTTGGGTTCCCAAGCTAGTTTTGACAAATGTCGGGGGGTGAACAAGATAAATGAGGGAGATGGGGGGCATGATTAGTGGGAGAGAAGACTATAAAATAACCATTGCATGTATGTAGATCCGACTGATAACTACGGGTCAAAAATTAAGTCTTTCTTAATATCTATATTACTGGCATGCTTTATTATTTATTATTTATTATTATTTATTTTGAAAATAAAATTGTATTCATGTAAAAACATGGAAATTTACCCTTTCTACTAAAATTAGTTCCAACGGCTTACTTTTACCAAATTACAATAGATAATTAATACGACCCAAAAGAAATTAAAATTTTGATAACTAATCATACAGTGATAACCAGAAAACTCTGGAATAGGAAGATGGCTTTTCGACATAAGTTTTGACTTTTAATCGCTCAATGTACATGAGATACGGCAATTGTGCAAGGTAAACAGACCCATTTCACCTAATAAGTGATTTAATAACTCACTAGTAAAACTATTTGCTTTGTGACAACATCAAATGCACTTATTCCTATTCCACAGTATTCTGGCTATCACTTTAAAAATGAATTGACTTAGAAAACTGCAGATTTGTATTAAAAGTTCTACTATGAGAATAGAACCAGAATTCAATCTAATCTCAACTTAAAAAAAATATTGAAAATAGGATTAAAAAATACTTAATTATGCATAAAATCCAAATACCTTGCAGCCCTCACAGACAGAAGCTCCATAGTGAAAACCTGTTGATGGTACACCACACACTCCACACGGAGTTCCAGACGCTCTTCTCCCACCAGATCCTGTTCTTCTACTCCCTGATCCAGGCTTCTTGCCAGAAGGGGTAGCATTAGAGGGGGAGGTGAGGGGTGGAGGGGTAGAAGTAGGCCTTGACTTGGAGGGTCCAGAGATTGTAAATGGAGGCTCCGGTTTTTGACGTTTTGTAAGGTTCGGAGATGCTCCAATGTTCTCCAATTTTCGTTTTGTTGGAGGTAGTAACGGACATGGTCCATATAGAGCTAGGAAGGAGGAGGATATTGGAGATTCCATAATAGCGGGTGGAGGGATATTATTGGAGGCAAACTGGAACTCTGTCTGGTTGGAGGCTAGGTCTGGAGTAGAGGGAACAATTGATATAGTTGTGTAGGACGGAAAGATACCACTACTTGATGTCGGAGACACATATAAATTGGAGGATGTCGGAGATATGTGATCGGAGGCCGGAGAGATATTATCTGAGGTTGGACTAAGGGACTCCGGAGTGTCCCAGGGACGGAATATAGTTGGAGGATTGTTCTCCGGACTTTTAAACTCAACATCGTCATTCTTCTTCTCTAGGTTTATAATCTTGTTGGAGGTTGGAGACTCCGGAGTGATCAGTCCTAACAGAGGATCAACATTTCCTCGTCTTGGGGTTTTCATGTCTCCAAGTGTAATGGGAGGCTTGGAGTCAGAGTATTGTTGGGGGTTCGGATAAAAATTATTGTAAGTAAGATCTAAGCCTTGTTCTTGCCACATGTTGACAGAGTAAAATCTTAGAACTAAATGAAACCCGGAGCTGTGGTATTTAAACACCTAAGGAGCGGTCAGCTGGCCAAGTTCCCAAGATCGACCAAATTAAGATTAAGTGAGGTTTGTGCCTGAGTTTCGTAGTGGTTCGAGTTTCCGAGTTTGTGAGGGGGGGGGGGCGTGGGACAGGGTTCTGCTGTCCCCAGAAAGGGGAGCAGGTAATAGTGGGGAAGAGGGGTCAACCTATTATATTCAGTGCAAATATTATTCTCCCCCGCTCCTCCCCCTTCCTCACCATTTTTCCAGCCTCTTTCTCCCCAGTTTTTAGAACCAAATCCTCCAATAGGAAACTATATTAGTGGATTTCGTAACTTCGTAACTTTCAGGGGTTATTATGACGTAAATGGTAATATTAGAATATTATACTTAGAATGTTTGAAAATCGGATTTCTCATTTATTAATTACTTTTCTAGTATATCAGTTTTATAGGAATATTATTATCTACATGAAAATCCTTTTCAGTAGAAAATATACGTTTGTTATTTTCATAAAGATAATAATTAAGCTTCTTACGTTAAGCTTAAAAGAGACTGTACGTGTTTGGTTAGCGGAACTCGTCTCTTTTTGTACATCTTCAATTTGAAACTTAAAATCTGAAACAAGTTTTTGCAAAGGAATTGAGCCTTTGTCGCAAACTCTGATTTTTTAAGAAAATAAAAACGAATATAACAATGTATCTTAAATCAACATTTGTAATCATTTTTTTACTTGTTTCATAAAACCTTTTGACCACTTTTCTTTTAACTTTCTATAAACTATATTCTAGGCTTTTAGGGTACTTTGCGCCCATCTTCTATTTTAATTGTGAACAAAAACAAAAAGTACGCTGAGTTCATAAAAAAAATTCCTGGATTAAAAAAATGGTCCCACGCAAAATTTAGGGTCGATCGGTTCAGCCGTTTTGACGTTTATTGGATACAAACGGAAAGACAGACAAGCAAAGTATTCATATACTAGGCTTTTAAGGCGCTTCGCGCCTATCTTCTATTTCGATTGTGAACATGTTCTCTTTGTATATACTGTAAACCAAAACAAACAAAAAATCGTAGATTTTATAGAAAAAGTTGTGGATTTTCTAAATTTTCAAAAAGCAAATTTTGTTAGAGGCACATTTTTGAAAATTCGATTATCCATAAACCTTCCCTGGGTTCACGCAGGGTCCTACACAAAATTTGGGCCCGATCGGTTCAGCCGTTTTGACGTTTATTTGATAAAAACAAACAGACAGACAAGCAAAGTATATTTATAGATAGCTTGGTTTCGCTCAAAAAACCTAGTTGTATTTTTGCCAAAGGTATAATATATTCAGATCGATATATATCATTCCTATCTATTCCAGAGTGCATTTCACTGCAAAATTAATGCATTATGCTAAATGATATATTAGAATTATATTATATGCATCCCACACCTAAATTGCATTTTTATGAATAATAATAATAAAAAAAAGAAAATTTTAAAAGTTGAAATTTTCAGTAAAAAAAGTTTAATGTTTCACAAAGTGTACGTTTACAATTTGGCAATCTTATTACTCACTTCTTTCATTCATTAATTAAAAAATATTGAAGAAAATAAGTTCTTGGAAACCCAGCTTCCTAACTTCTAAAAAAAACTAAGAACATTCCCGTAGCTCTATCAACTTCCCCAATCAAAATATTGAGGCAACTCGGTCGGGTGGTTCACAAGTTCTGATCTGATACACAAATATACAAACAGAGATTTCTACGTTTTATATATACTAACTTGGAAACCCAGCTTTGCCTAGACTCACAGTTTTCTCTATAAAAGTAACTTTGCCAATCTAGTTATTTTAACCCAAAGGAATTGAGTCTTTGTAACAAACTCTGATTTTCTAATACCTATATTTGTTCCACCTGATGGTGTAAACCTTTGATATTTCAAACTTAGAATTTTTCATCTAACAGAATTCATAGTTTGAAATATCTAAGGTCTACGGCATTGGATTACAAAGATATAGAGATTAGAAAATCATAGTTTGTGACAAAGACTCAATTCCTTAGAGGCAAATCGGTCGAGGGGTTCATGAGTTATGATCAGATATGCAAACAAACAATTGCCTACAAACAGAGATGAAGAATGTGGATACTATTTTTACAAAAAAGGGATAAAATACCGTTTTTTTCAACTGCTATAGCATGATAAATTGATAGTAAGTAAAACATACATTACGTTTCCCGCACTATGGTCATATATTATAAATATAGGTTTTCTTTGCATTCTCATTGTTTCAGGTTTTCTCTGCATTCTCATTCTTTCAGGTTTTCTCTGCATTCTCATTCTTTCAGGTTTTCCCTGTATTCTCATTCTTTTAGGTTTTCTCTGTATTCTCATTCTTTCAGGGTTTCTCTGTATTCTCATTTTTTCAAGTTTTCTCTGCATTCTAATTCTTTCAGGTTTTCTCTGTATTCTCATTCTTACAGGTTTTCCCTGTATTCTCATTCTTTTAGGTTTTCTCTGCATTCTCATTCTTTCAGGTTTTCCCTGTATTCTCATTTTTTCAGGTTTTCTCTGCATTCTCATTCTTTCAAGTTTTCTCTGCATTCTCATTGTTTCAGGTTTTCTCTGCATTCTCATTCTTTCAGGTTTACCCTGTATTCTCATTCTTTTAGGTTTTCTCTGCATTCTCATTCTTTCAGGGTTTCTCTGTATTCTCATTTTTTCAGGTTTTCTCTGCATTCTAATTCTTTCAGGTTTTCTCTGTATTCTCATTCTTTTAGGTTTTCTCTGTATTCTCATTCATTCAGGTTTTCTCTGTATTCTCATTCTTTCAGGTTTTCTCTGTATTCTCATTCTTTCAAGTTTTCTCTGTATTCTCATTCTCTCAGGTTTTATCTGTATTCGCTTTCTTTCAGGTTTTCTCTGTATTCGCTTTCTGTCAGGTTTTCCCTGTATTCTCATTCTTTCAGGTTTTCCCTGTATTCTCATTCTTTCAGGTTTTCTCTGTATTCTCATTCTTTCAGGTTTTCTCTGTATTCTCATTCTTTCAAGTTTTCTTTGTATTCGCTTTCTTTCAGGTTTTCTCTGTATTCTCATTCTTTCAGGTTTTCTCTGTATTCGCTTTCTTTTTGTGTTTTCTCTGTATTCTCATTCTTTCAAGTTTTCTCTGTATTCTCATTCTTTCAGGTTTTCTCTGTATTCTCATTCTTTCAAGTTTTCTCTGTATTCTCATTCTTTCAAGTTTTCTCTGTATTCTCATTCTTTCAGGTTTTCTCTGTATTCGCTTTCTTTCTGTGTTTTCCCTGTATTCTCATTCTTTCAGGTTTTCTCTGTATTCTCATTATTTCAAGTTTTCTCTGTGTATTCGATCTTCGTTTTTGTGTTTTCTCTGTATTCTCATTCTTTCAGGTTTTCTCGGTATTCTCATTCTTTATATGTTTTCGCTGTGTATTCGATCTTCGTTTTTGTGTTTTCTCTGTTTCCTCATTTTTTCTATGTTTCTCTAGCATCTTTTTTTTCTACATGAGTTTCCTGTATTCTATTTTTTTCTATGCTTTCTCTGTGTCATCGCCTACTCTCGAATTTGTTTTATATTGTTTGTCTCCCTTTCCATCTTTTCCCAAGTTTTTATTTAATTTCCGCTCTTTTCAGATTTTTCTCATATCTTATTTTCCAAACATACCATTGACCACCAAATCCCTCTCTTTTTACAAATACCCCCTACTCCCCGTGCCATATTTTAGTTTCCCCCCCCCTCACCCTTTCCACTCAAATACTTACCCCTTCTTCCCTCTTCCAATATAAAACTTTAATTTAGTCAAACGTTTCTTTTAGTAAATTATAATAATAATGGATTATAATACACATTTTTAAAATATTTTTCTACTAAAAAATGGTGATATATTAATTACGAGAATCTTAATTAAGTTTTAAATTTTTTACATTTTTCTGGTTATGATAAAACAAAGGGTTTTTAGAAATACTGAACAATATTGAACCATTAAAAAATGTGACGAATCATATATTGCCAATATTTACATTTTCTTTCTGTTTCATGGATATAACAAAAAATGTGTTAAGGTTGTTCAGGAATTTAAAAAAAATTTTAATTGGTTTAATAATGCCATGCTCATGCAGTGAGCATTGCAGCAAATGAACTCCATGACCAATTCTTTGAGGAACAAAAAATAAAATTCCATAAAATATATGATATCGAATATGTAACCCAGTTTTGCTTTGAATTTAAGAAAAAACATACTTTTGCATGTTAAAACACAAAAAGCAGTTGAAATGTTGAATAATATCTTGTGCATTTCAGTTGGTGATATTTATGAACCCGGTTCAATAAAAAGTTTAAAACACAGCTGTGAACTTTTGTATTGGATATTCAAAATCCAAATCATATGATCTCGATATCCACAGTTGGCACTTACGCAGAATCTGATTTGGGATATCTGCGATTTACATATTCTCCGGTTGAAACCATAACTACCTGACTTCTGCAGGGCTGTTAGTTTTCAACAATTTACGGAATATTGAATAAAGATTAAAGAAATCTGCATATTGTAACACACGATTAAGATCAATCCTAGATCTCTATATACCCAATTCAAGAAATGAAAATTAAAGTGGAAGAGATTAAATTCTGTGACGGTTGAACCACAAAAAAATTATGGAAGGTAAGAAATAAATGACTAGGTTTTCATAATCTTTTTTTTTTATAGCCAATCTGCAGCCATATGTATATTAAAAAAATATCAATTACAAATGTTGTAAATTTTACTATTTTCATTGACGGATTTCATTGATTAAAATTACTTTAAGGAAATATATTTTAAATTCTGACCAGCCCTATACCTTCCCATGAGGTCATTTACCACAAAAATTTGCGTCCGATTGGGTCACACATTTTGAAGTTTACAAACCAAATAACGTAAAGAATTTAAGCAAATCAGAAAAAAATCCTTTAAATTTCCTACCCCCCCCCCAAACTCTGATTTTCTAATACCTATATTTGTTCCACCTGATGGTGTAAACCTTTGATATTTCAAACTTAGAACCAAATTACAATAGATAATTAATACGACCCAAAAGAAATTAAAATTTTGATAACTAATCATACAGTGATAACCAGAAAACTCTGGAATAGGAAGACCCCCCCCCTCATCCCGGTATTCCCGTGATGCCAGCTGTTTCGTTTAAACCCTCTGTTGAGTTTAAAGGACACTTGAATTCTAAACTGTCCGGGAAGGATGAAAGAGAATCAAGGTTGGGACTATGTCTATTTGTATAGAATAAATTTAAAGTAAATATGTACAAAATTGGAAACTAAAATATTTGAAAAATCAAATATATTCGAGAATTTGTTTTATTTAAATAATTCAATAATCGGTGATATACAGAAAATATTGAAGTTTTTCCATTTTTTATCAGCTCCCTTCTTATCAGTGTCCAGTCCAACCTTGATCTTCTTGTAACTTCATAGCTTTCATTTCTTTGCAGTAAAGAAATTGTATTTTCTTACACTGTAATGTTAAAGGAACCCTGGTCACTTTTTCTATTCTCCCAATCATGCATTATTTTCTATTCTCCCAATCATGCTATTGTTTTCTATTCTCCAAATCATGCTATTGTTTTCTGTTCTCCAAATCATGCTATTGTTTTCTATTCTCCCAATCATGCTATTACTTTCTATTCTCCCAATTATGCTATTATTTTCTATTCTCCCAGTCTTGCTATTGTTTTATATTCCCCCAATTATGCTATTATTTTCTATTCTCTCAATCATGCTATTGTTTTCTATTCTCCCAATCATGCTATTATTTTCTATTCTCCGAATCATGCTATTGTTTTCTATTTTCCGGGGGCTCCCCCCCCCTCGTACGCCCCTCCCCTTTATTATCCTTTTGCCTCTATCCCCTCCTCAATCTCTTCTCTCTATCCTCTCCTTTATCCTCCTTTTCTATCTATCCTCTCCTTTATCATCATTTTCTCTCTATCCTCTCCTTTATCATCATTTTCTCTCTATCCTCTCCTTTATCCTCTTTTTCTCTCTATCCTCTCCTTTATCATCCTTTTTCCTTTATCATCCTTTTCTCTCTCTCCCCTCCGTTAAAATCCTTTTCTCTTTATCCCCTCCTTTATCATCCTTTTCTCTCTATCCTCTCCTTTATCCTCCTTTTCTCTCTATCCTCTCCTTTATCATCCTTTTCTCTCTATCCTCTCCTTTATCATCCTTTTCTCTCTATCCTCTCCTTTATCATCCTTTTCTCTTTATCCTCTCCTTTATCATC